CCGTCTTAGGGTACATAAGTCCGGCAAAGGGAGTCCATGGAACAGAAGGGAGGATGTTATTTAGCAGTCCTCAGGTCTTCTAAACCAGGGCCGAAAGGGAACAGTCCTCGAAAGACAGTCCTCAAGTCCTCTAGGCCGGGTCCTCTAGGCCGGGGCGGGCCGAGTCCAAGTCCAGGCCCCAAATCCTCACCCGGCCGAGACCGCTGGGAAGGCCGCTGAGGCCGCCAAGGCCGCTGGGAAGGCTCCAAAGCCACCGAAGAGGCCGCCGAAGAAGCCACCAAAGCCGCCGAAACCGGAACGGCCGAAAAGGCCGCCGAGAGGGCCGCTTGAGAGGCCGCCAAGGCCGCTACAAAGGCCGCCAAGGCCGCTGGAAAGGCCATCGGAGCCACCGTAGAGGGAGGGCCGGGAGGGCCGCCTAAAGGGCCACCAGGAGGGCCACCAAGGCCGCCACAAAAAGCCGCCAGGACCACCAAGGCCAAGAGGGCAGAAAGGGCCGCCAAAAGGGCTGCTGAAGAGGCCATCGAGGCCGCCGATAACGCCGGAAAGGCCGCTGGAGAGGCCGCCGAGGTCGCCGAGGAGGCCTCTGGAGCCGCTGGAGGGGCCACCGAGGCCACCGAGGCTGCTGGAAAAGCCATCAGAAGGCCACATTATAAACTGCCCAGAGAGTGCAGTAAAGCAGGGGTCCCCAACCCCCAGTCTGTGGACCTATACCGGGCCGCGGCATGCCAGCAACTGGTCTGCACAAAGAAGTGAAGCTCCATTTGCAAGATACAGGCAGCACACAAAACCACACACTCTCCGGTCAGTGGAAAAACCTTTCTGCACAGAACCGGTCCCTGGTGCTCAAAAGGTTATGGACCTCTGCTGTAAAGCACTATGGGGGTGGTATATATAAGTCTAAGTGCTATTGATATTGCTATTTAGCTCAGCCCCAAACTTTGCAAAAGCATAACTAAAAATGAATAAATGAGAACATCATTAAATCACAATGTTTTTCAAAAAAGCTCCATTAAAACTGTTAAATTAAACAGGGTCACATCTCAGTGAGAAAAAAGATACAAAGGTTAGGATGCCTCTGTGAGATCACCTTGTCTCTCTTGTTCACGAACTCTTTTGCTCACTCGCTCATTTGATCACTATCAGCTTCTGATCAGAGGTTAATACCTGGGCAATTTATTTAAATTCTTGGTCCTTCAGGTTTGTTTC